TCGGCAGTCAAGTCCTGGCTGATATCAGAGCCGGGACAGATCCGATCACAGCGGTTATGAAAGCGCTGGCTAATCTACTGGCTCGGCACTACAGTGGAGGAGTCTAACCTGCGCCTCCTCTACTGGAACCCAGGTGGAATCCAACAGAAGTTACAAGAACTCCGCACCGTCGCCCAACAACAAGACGTACAGGTCATCTTGCTGGGAGAGACGAAATTAAATCCGAGCACACGCATTAAGCTGCCTAATTATCATATATATAGGAGGGACGAGGTCACTTCTCAGGGGGCCGCCTACAGAGGGACAGCGGTCCTAGTGAGAAGGGACATCGTCCATCAAGAACTTGATTTACCGGAATACCAAACGATGCGCTCTATCGGCATAAAAATGGAGGCGGCGGGCGAGGAACTTAGGATCTACGCAGCATACCGCCCGCCAGGGACTCCATTTTGCTCCTCAGACGTCCGGACGGTAATGGAAGGCGAAACACCGACCATCATCGCCGGGGACCTAAACGCCAAACACCCGGCGTGGGGATCTAGATTGATCAACCCGCCGGGTCATGCACTATTTGAAGACGCCGAAATACACGGCTATGACGTTTTAGGTCCCGAAGAACCTACACATGTTCCAACGGATCCACGAATTTGTCCGGATGTATTGGACATCGTGCTCGCTAGGAACATCAACTACCCGATAGTGGTAGAGGTGCTGTACGACCTGGAATCACAGCACCTCCCGATCTTAATTACCCTTGGCTTAAAGGCGGTGACTACGCCGCCCAGAACAGTGAAGACACGTGTCGACTGGAGGCTCTACCACAAACACCTGCAGGAGAGACCTCCAGCACACCACCCCTTGAACACAGCGGACGACGTAGAGGCCGCAGCCGCAAATATGACAAAGGCGATACAAGAGGCCCTCAACGCTGCCTCTACGATCGTCCCGATGTCCACCAAAAGGGATGGTCTGCCGCGACACATCTGCGTGCAGATTAAGAGAAAAAGGGCCCTAAGGAGACTCTGGGCGCGTACTCGCTGCCCGAGAATCAAAACGAAACTGAACACCTTGTCGGAGGAACTGTCGGTTGCAGTCCAGGCACACAGAGGAGATGCCTGGGAGCGGCGCATATGGAAGGCGGAAGAGCATGATGCGTCGCTCTACAAACTGAACCGGCAGTTAACTAAAGCCAAACCTCCCGTTTGCCCGCTGACCAACAACGCGGGTGAACGTCGTTACGATGCCAAGGGTAGAGCGGATATCCTAGTCGAGCACTTCGAGGAGCAATTTATGCCGAACCCAGCAAGTGCGGAGTTCTTGGAGCTTCATGCCCAAAAGGAGAGTCGCGTACAGGAGTTCCTGTCGTCGCCCGCGCCGCCTCTTGCAGGAGAGTGGTTCATCTCCCCCCGCTGAACTGCGGTGGACAGCAACCCGCCTGCAACCGAGGAAGGCGCCGGGGCACGCGGGATTACCAACGCTGCACTCCGACAGCTGCCCCATAGAGTCCTAGTAGAGCTTGGTCGACTCTACAATGGGATACTGCGGACATCCCACTTCCCGGAGGACTGGAAGAAAGGCAAAGTAATCGTCTTGCCGAAACCCGGGAAGGACAGGCGTAGAGCTGCCAGCTACAGGCCGATCACGCTGCTACCACACATAGCTAAACTGCTTGAAAGATTGTTGCTAAGACGCCTCCGCCCGTGCATCCAACTTCGGGCGGAGCAGCACGGATTCAGGAGGGGTCACTCTACAGCAACACAGCTGACCAGAGTGCTGCACCTGCTTGCGGCCGATTACAACCGTGGCCGCACTACGTTGGGCGTCTTTCTCGATATCGATTTCTCGATATCGAGAAGGCGTTCGACAGGGTGTGGCATTCTGGACTACTTTTTAAATTGGAAGAACAGACCAGTGTCCCTCCTGCTATGTTGCGGCTAGTGGCGTCTTTCCTGGCAGACAGGAAGTTCTACGTCTGCGTAGAGGGCGCCGAGTCCGCAACCAGAACCATCAGAGCCGGCATTCCTCAGCGCAGCTGTTTGTCTCCAGTCCTGTACGCGGCTTATACCAACGACATCCCTACCCTGGCAGGCAGGCTGCAAGAATGGGAGGACGACGTGGAACTGGCGTTATATGCGGACGATAGCGCTTATTTCACCTCTTCCAGAAGAGCCCATATTGCCGCTGCCAGGATGCAACGCCTCCTGGACCTGTTGCCACCATGGCTAGATGAGTGGAGGATGGTCGTCAACGTTGATAAGACGACCGCTCTGCTCACTCGCCGCCTCAGGAACCTACCACCTCAACTAACCCTCAATGGCCAGCAGATCGCGTACGAGAAGGCCGTGACCTACCTTGGGTGCCGGATCGACCGGGCGCTGCGCATGACTGCGCACGTCGACCTCGTCGTCCGTAGAGCACGATGTGCGCGGGCGATGCTACGTCCGGTCCTGGCATCCAAGTTACCACTTAACACCAAAGTGCGAGTATACAAAACCTACATTAGAGCCATTATCACCTATGCTGCTCCGGCCTGGTACGCGCTTCTGAGCGAGCCTCTGAGGCGGCGACTGCAGGCCCAGCAAAATATGGCGTTAAGAACCATCGTCGGTGCGGGTCGCTACGTCCGGAATGACGTCATAGCGGCCAACCTGAAGATTGACACCATACAGGAATTTGTGGCCCGGTTGTCGCGCGGACTGTTCGACCGTGCAGACAACGGGCCGCATATACATCTCAACAACTTTGCGCCGCTACACACTCGCCCTCCGGACGGGCGACCCTATCCAAGAGAACTCCTCTCTATATCGATTAGAGAGTCGAGTAACAACCCTCAATGCCGCTGAAAGGCCAACTCCGACTTTATTAGATAACCTCCTTTTTTCGTAGTCATAACCGACTACGAAAAATTTACCGATTGCGACAAATCGTACGACACCTACAATGCCATTAGAAGGCTCCCAGGACCGGTCCATAGTGGTGGACCGCGAGGACAGCACGGGTAATGGGGGCTTACCCCGAGGCCCGAAACCTCCATGTGCCTAAAGACACGTGAAGAAGACATCAACGCTGCGTGCTAAAAATATCTACTCAACTAGATACTTTTAGCACGCTGATATTTAAAAAAAAAGCGCTATAGACCCTAGAATTGCACTAGATCTAGCGCCAAATACGTAACCAACCAACAAATAAGTAACCAACAAAACGACAACACTGCCTAAACCCTCTCAGAAGTGAGGAAAAGCACGCGCCCAGCACGTGTATTGGTTGTAATTTTAACTTTATTTGTAAAAATATAATTTCGACACCATTGACAATGAAGTCCCTCAATACTATTATACTTAATGACCCGTTGTTAAAGTGATGTTTTTGTTTCTTATAAATTAATTAAAAAAAATGATATTTGTTCATGCATCTATTTATAATCAAATATCATTTTAATCACTATAATTTAAGAACTAATAAAGCTGAGATTGATATAGATCGAGCGCAGCGTACTTTTAAAATAACATAAAATAACATACATAAACACTCACGCCTGTCACCCAGAGGGGTAGGCAGAGACTACAGACTTCCATTTGGCACGATCCTGACACACCTCTCTCGCCTCCTTCACATCCATACACCTACGCATACATGCTCGTCGGTTAAGGGTACTCCTAATTTGGCCCGTTTTCAATAAATCGTCAATTTGGTCGATAAATTTTCGCCTAGGACGTCCCTTTCCGACTCTGCCATTCACTTCTGCAACATAAATTTTCTTTGTCACTCTTTCCACATTCATTCTTTCCACATGACCAAACCACCGAAGCATTCCTTTCTTAATCCTGGTCACAACATCATCTTGTAAACCACACTCTTCTCTTATTACACAATTTCTTACCCTGTCGTTCAGATTCAGCCCTAACATACTCCTTAACGACCGCATTTCTACTGCGTTGATTCTACTCTCGTGCTTCTTCTGCCACATCCAACTTTCACTACCATACGTTAAAATAGGGACCAACACAGCATTGTGAATTGCCATACGTGCCTTTTTCGACACATTTTGACTCTTCACAACAGAGTGCAAGGCCCCATTTACTCTATTTCCTCTATTTAGAAGTTATATATTTTAGAAGTTGAACATGGTTTTGAGATCACTTTTAAAATGTGATCTCAAAACCACGTTCAACTTCTTTTTTTATAATAGAATAAGTTTATGACAAACGAGCACACAGTCCACCTGATGATAAATGAATGCTGTGACCCATAGACATCTACATCCATCCTCGATTAATAATGAACATGCTGATGCGTAATCACCCCTGAGGACTAAGGTGGAATGCATTGTTTCCAGTAAAAAAGAGTCTCCGGATCTCTACACTCACCATATGAAACACAGCAGTACTAACCAGTAAGTTGGTATTCTACGTGTGCTCCTTCCCCGGTTGAGCCGACGCATTCGTGCTGCAACGTCGTGTTATAATATAACTAGTATATAACTATATTTCATGGGCGGCGGTAGTCACTTAACACGAGATGAGCCGCATGCTCGTTTGCCCCCTGTTCTATAAAAAAAAGCTGCAGTACGGCTATACTATGTGTTACAATATATTTATTGTTGTTTGTGGTAGAGCCATGCTGCAGTTATATTACTAGTATAGTTGTAGGACAAATGCGTCGGCTCGACCGGGGAAGGACCACGCTTTCACAGAATACCAACGTGAAATGGTAGCTTGATGCTACTGTGTTTTGTATAGTGAGTGTAGGGATCCGGAAACCAATTTTACTGGAAACGGGGCATTCCATCTTAGTCCTCACGGGTGACAACGCATCTGCATTTTGATTCGTAATCGAGGATACATGTAGATGTCTATGGGCTACAGCAACCACTTACCATCATGTGGAATGTGTGCTCATTTGTCACCCTATCCTATACAAAAGAATATGGACTAAAATGTTTTTATAAGTAGCCTTTACACAATATTTTAGTTAAGATGAACAATGCAAGCAGGACTGACTTGAGCGTGACCCTGGTGGAGTACCACTTGCGGCACACGTGGCACTGGAAGCTCTTGTCGGCGGACTCGTTGTCCGACTCGCTGATGTCGTCGTCGCGCGGCGCCTCGCCCCCAGCGCTGGGCGCAGTGGGCAGCGCGCCCGCACCCTCCAGATCCGACTCTGACTCCGAGCCCGAGCCCGTGTACGCGCCGCTGTACGACGACCACGCGCCGAACGACCTGGACACGCGCGCACATTACAAACACATTACATCCTAAATTATTTGCTAAGAGTGGTCAAATTCAAGCGTACTGATTATTAGAAATATTCTGTGAACTTACAAAGTTAAAAGTTAAAGTTACAGCCCGTATACGTCCCACTGCTATGCACAGGCCTCTGCTCATTCCCGAGAACACCGTATAATCTCAAGAACTAAACGCTCGCTGTAAATTTGACGAGTAGTTATGGGGAATATTAGTAATGTTTATAGCATTGTTAATATTTAAAAAAAATCACAGTACACGAATAACCCGGGTTCTATCCCCGCCGGCACCAATGAAATTGTTAATTTCGGTGAAGGAAAACATCGTGAGAAAACCTGTATGAAAAAATATTTTAAGAAGATGTGAAGTTCGCCAATAGCATTGTATTTCCTTGCCCTAAACCCTCTCAGAAATAAGAGGCCTTTAGAAATTAGAGGCCAGCATCGGGACGTATATAAGCTGTAGTAACTTTAACTTTTAAAACATTATACATAATAAAGATATTAGTAATTACTTTGCAACCATCCATCCATCATATAATGGATTTCCGCAAAGTAACGCCTGATTCTATCAATTATTTTAAAACATTGTTTGAAGTAAGTTTTACTTTTAATTTTATGACCATTTTCATTTGTGATAAGTATTTAAGAAACAACTAGCATAACATTTCTTCAGACCCACAAAATTCACCGACCTGTCGTCCTCGACCGCATTGGTGGGCACAATCGGTGTAGGTAGTGCATCATCAGTCCCAGCGCTGGGCTTTTCATCCCCAGCTTCCGACTCGCTGTCCGAGCTGTCGGACGAGCTGGAACTGTCCGAGCTGGACGACGAGCTGCTGCCCGAACTCGAACTGCCTGCGGAAACCAACACCATGGCCTCTTTAGTATTGTCAGACTCACAAAAGAGACTTTGCTCAAAAAGACAAGTTCAAGGCATGCAGCAGTTTCGTGTGGAGAGTTGCCGACTTCTCTTTTAACTGATTGAAAAGAATGACTACCAACACTTTTTTATAGAATAATGGCTACAAAACGAGCACACACTGAACCTGATAATAAGTGGATGCTAACCCCATAAGCATCTATATCTACATCTATCCTCGATTAAAAATGAAAAATACAACCCTAAGGATTAAGATTGAATGCATCGTTTTCAGTAAAAATGGTCTCCGGTTCTCTACACTCACCATACGAAACACAGCAGCAATAAGTTGCTAATTGACGCTGGTATTCTTTGAGAGTAAAGTCACTCACCCTTGTCGAGCCAACCTATTCGTGCTGCAACCATAATATAGCTACAGCATGGCTCTACCGCACGGTAATAAATAATAATATAAATCTAAGGTGATAAGCCTGACTAATGAAATAGGTGTGTAAAGTAACATGTGCCACACCTTCTGATTGAAGATGTTTTTTTTTATAGGATAGGGTGACAAACGAGCACACAGTCCACCTGATGTCACGACATCTACATCTATCCTCGATTACGAATCAAAATGCAGATGCGTTGTCACCTGTGAGGACTAAGATGGAATGCCTCGTTTCCAGTAAAAAGGGTCTCCGGTTCTCTACACTCACCATACGAAACACAGCAGCAATAAGCTAATTGTAGGGGATGAAAGCGAGTGGACTGTATTTAATTTATTGTGTTATATTTCTATTAATAAGCTAGGAGTTACTATTTACTTTGCAACTGAATTAAAACTATGACATCTGTCCGACTATAAAAAGGGATTGAGTAGAAATTAAATTACTTGACGAAATGACACACTATATTTACACTATTTCCAATTGCAGTAGTTAACACTAATAGGGATTCTTGTTGGTTCTTCTGTTCGGGTTGCTTGCTGTTGCTTGAGTTGCCGCCGATCGAATGAAAAATCGGCGCCAGAAACGCTTCTTTTACTTCGTAGTTCGGTGCGCCGTAAGCACGGGGCCCTTGTTCCGATGCGGGGCACGCGGGACGTGTCGACGTGGGTGCGGTGCGGGGCGATGGACGATTTCACTCGCCGTCCGCAACACTAATATTTGACGCTGGTATTCTGTGAGAGCGTGGTCCTTCCCCGGTCGAGCCGACCCGTTCGTGCTACAACTACTACTATATATAACTGCAGCATGGCTCTACCACGTATGTATGATGCAATACCTATTTAAAAATGCTCTAATATGGCAAAGACAAATATCACATTGCATAATCATAATTCATATTATTATAATCTTCCTATCATAAATTTGTAAAAAGGGGTATTATAATATTAAAGAATGATTACTTAAATTTATGCGAACATTGAATAAAACTATTTATACGGATTCTATCGCGTTTAATTAATTACTTTTCGTGGTCACGGGGGGGGGGGGACTGCGATGTTTGACGTCCCAATGTCATAGTTAGCCCGGCTACCTTCAGTTTTTTAATATTAATTTTATGGTCCGATTTACGCAAAACGAGCTTACAGTATCTTAAAGTCTTGCAGTGGTATGCTTGGGTTTGGGTTTAATTTTGTTAATTATAGCATCCCAAGCAGATGGCAGCAACCCAGCCATCTTCTCTATTGAAATTAGGATGGGTTTTAATTTTAATAGCTTCGCATATCATCCTTGGTAGGAATCGGTGTTCTTTTAGTTCTCTCTTTTTATACTTACAGAATAGGAGTCCAAAAATCTAGTAAACTCGATCGACTGGTTAGAAGAAATAAACCGTCTCTTGCTGTCTATTCTTAGCGATATCCTACTATATGACTAGTAGGACTTAAGCCATATTATTAACCACAAATCCTCGCAAAAGAACAACGATTCCTACCAAAGATGATACGCGAGGCTATTGAAATTAAAAAAACATTCAAATTTCAATAGAGAAGATGAATGGGTGCTGTCACCTGCTTGGGATCCTATAATTAACAAAATTAAACCCAAACCTAAGCATACCACCGCAAGACTTCATGATACTATAAACTCGTTTTGCGTAAATCGGACCAAAAATTAATATTCAAAAACTGAAGGTAGCCGAACTAACTATGACATTGGGACGTCAAACATCTCAGTCCCCCACGTGACCATGGGTGCTGTAAAGCACCGGAAACGTCAGAAATTAAAAATAAGTAAAAGTGAAATAAACGCGATAAAATTCGTAAATTTAGTTTTATTCAAGGCAAATTCCAATTTTATTTTATTAAACATGTACCTGTACTGTATAATTTCCATATTCAATTTTGGGTATAATTTTATTACGACAGAAAAATAAATTAGGTCATGTCAACACAGAAACTGAATGACAAATTGCAATAGTACCAGCGACTCACCTGACCCTGAAGTACTGCTGCCTGAATCAGAGTTGGAACTATCCTCCAATTTCTCAACTCTGGTATCCAACTCCTTAACCGAAGCACAACCTGGAACATTATCAATACACACTAAGATCGACTGCCTAAAGGTCTAGTGGTCGTACACGCGCCTACTGATATGGTACTGAGTTCAAATCTCTTTTTTCTGTCAATACAATCGGATTACAGTTCCATCTCGGGTTATGACAGTAAGGTTGGTATGTGTTGCTATGGGTACAGTATGGATTTTTACGTGATAATGCCACGCTACAACTATATTATAATTGTAGCGTGAATGGGTAAACGGGGAAGGACCACGCTCTCACAGAATACCAGCGTAAAATAGTAGCTTAACGCTGCTGTGTTTCGTATGGTGAGTGTAGACAACCGGATACCCATTATACTGGAAACAAAGCATTCTATCTTAGTCCCCACGGATGACAACGCATCTGCATTTTGATTAGTAATCGAGGATAGATGTAGATGTCTACGGACCACAGCATCCACTTACCATCAGGTTAACTGTGTGCTCATTTGTTACACTTATTCTATAAAAAAAAGACCTAGGGCATTCAGGTTTCCTCATGATGTTTTCTTTTACCACCAAGGACATAGTAAATCAACACTTGAAATGGTAATAAACAATTTTATTACTGGATCTTTAATTATTATCAATTTTATATAGAAAATGTACAAAAAGGTTTACTTGAGTACAAGCAGGATGCGAGAATTTATGAAAAAAAAAACCATTGACTACATAAATATCGTTATTGTCCAAAGTAAAATTATTATTTCGTTTGATGTTTACAAACTGTGTCGCTAGATGTCACTATTAGAAAATTAAAACACGCTAACACAGGAAGGAAAAGAAAATTAATTTTGTTTTGCAATGTAAGCCACCAATAAGCCGCTCACTAGATGTCGCTAGTTGACACTGAGATCAAATTATTAATTACACAATATTATTATTTAATTGAGAAAGTAATCATAAATAGATATAGACATAGCTTTTAGAATTAGATTACTCAAGTGTAACGTTACCGAAGACTCGGACTCCACCGTATAATTGTTACTGCTGGTCAAACCAAGGCGTCATACTTTCAGTTAACAGACTTGTTTCGACCATCCTATATAATCCGTTGCATTTAGAATTAAATTAATTTTAATTATCACAGCAATGTAATCACTTAGTTAATGAAGTCAGTATTGTACTGAATTAGTTTTAATACATTATTGTAATATAATTGTTATTAAATGTCATAGACGCATTTAGTTTTAGTGAAAGTTTAATACATACTGTTTTTGGTTTTATAGTCTGTATTTTTCTGAACTTAATAATTTGATAAACAATTAGGCTATCCCCTATTTTTTATAATTGAAGATTTTTTATAAAATCTTAATATTATATTCTATCTTACACACTATCTTAACAAACAAAATGTACAAATCTAATATATAAAAAATAATGTTTGTTTGTTTGTATTTTATGCGCTGCCATACCGTTCATTAGTTTGCCGTAAAGCTTTCTCTTGTGCGAAGGTTATAGGCATAATACAATTAACTTAAAATAGGCGGCGCGCGTATCGTACCGACAAATTTATTTGAAAGTAATATTATATAAAATTCAATGAATGTATTATCATTCCTAATTAAACAATATAACTGTTCCAAATTTAAAACAATATTTCTACAATTATTTCTTCTACGGCAGCAACGTGCTGGGTATAATATTATACCAGCGAGTATTATGTGAAAATAATGATACTATAATTATCAACAATGGCCGTATGATGACGGCTACAGGGAATCGACCACTCGATGTCAACCCATGGATGTTGTAAGAGGGGACAACAAAAATTATGCTTATCATCGAATTGCAGCGCGTTTAGTATATATACACATATTATAACGTTATTATCAAATTTCAAACTTAAGGTGGATGCGTCGACCGTCCGCCCATACATTTTTTAATCAAAATATGCACTAAACACAGACACTCTTTCTTTAAAACTAATCATTTTATCACTTCTCTACAATGAAATGTGTACGCCTCTGACCTTTATTGGCAATAACTTACATTATATACTGAGAAAAACAATAGTGAAATCCCGGAAAAATTTGTCACTTCTTTAGTAATGTGCGTGACTTTTGACAAGCAAACGAAAGGCGACGTTTAAACATTGGCACGCTAGATGGCATCCAAGTGATCTTAAATAATTCTTATAAATCAATTTCTTAAGTTCAATAATTGGTTAATTTCCTTTCCAACCGTTAAAAAAAACAGTATAAAATAACATAAAACTAATGACCTTAAACACCTATGTTTTTTTTGTAAACAATTTTATTACTTATTATCGTTGTGTGGCAACATAAATACCAAAAGTCGTAGGTAAAGCGACGTTGCCGTCCTTCCTGACAACAAACTGATAAGAGTACTAACGTATTCCTGACCTTGTATTGACGAAACAAAAGCGTTGCCAAACTTACGTACGTTCACTTGTTTGACTTGTATAAAATATAATACTCTGTAGCGGTGGGTAGTAGCAGCTTTTTTTGAGTAACGAAACGAAACTATCTATCGAATATCAATAGCAGCTTTTGAGACACTCTATTTTAATAGAGGGTTTTGAAACACTCTATTTTAATAGCAATAAAGTGCAATAGAGAGCAATAGAGTGTTTCACGACGTGTTCAATTGAAAAACGTTGCGACCGTTGTTACCGTTTCGTATAGAAATAGACATGGTGTTAATGGTTAAATTTATTTATTTGTTAAATAGGTTCGCACGGTTTGATAAAAATATCACTTGAAAGGTACACTGGCATTACTTCGAGACATTTTTGATAACTATCACATAAAGTATTAGTATTATTTTTACACTTAGTTACTTACACTAATTACTGTACAATTATTATTATATACACTAATAATATATACAATTGTATTTAGTTCTTATTTTACTAAAAATATTATTATTTTTGCACAAAACAATATTAACAAAAGCGCCTATAAAGTAAAAACAAACCGTGTCCTTAAACATAAACACAAGACTAATTTAAACCGGGCCAAGGCAACTTAAATTATGGTATTTGAACTATTTTTTTGTTAAAAACATGTATACTTACTTTGTCATTTCTAATATTGCATATATACGAAGAGAATAGAGTCATACATACGTCAAATGCAAAAGCACCCACGCTCACTCGACTTTCGACAACCGGTTGTACTTCTACCACAGCGTAAAGAGTCGGTTTCTTTACTCATATGCTTCTACTTCAACAGCCGAAGCCGTCGCCGATGCGTCGCCAAAATAGCCGAATAAACGTTTTGTTACTGATCGCTCGTTCGTGATTCGTGAAACGTGAATCGTGTTACTGAGTGAAACGTCTACTGTAATAGATAGTTTCGTTGCACTGCAATAACCCGCTACCCGCTATTGTGTGAATAGATAGTTTCAGTAACTAGTTACGTTTTGTAACGACCACTCCTAATACTCTGATTTCGGTTGTCACCCGCCACGATTTGCGCGCGGAATTTCTTGTGTATTATACATAATTTGTATGTATGTTTTCATTGATTCGAATTGCAATATTTCTCTAGTATATATTTGAGACTATATTGTAATTTATGGTAAGTATAATAATTAATTATTCTAAAAACGCAATTACGTTTTCGGTAGTATTATTAATAACAGCAGGTTGGCCCGTGATTTTTCTGAAATATCGTTACAATACTGATTACCTACGTCATACGTGTCAGTGTTTCATATATGAATGTGTTTGAATATGTTTTTGGTCAACAATAAATACAATTATTATAAATCGGTAAATTACCAAAGTAGTCACAAAATTAAACTTGCAAACATTTGCTAAATATGGTTTTGCCGGGTTACATTAAACACCCTTTACGCATTTTGCAAACAGTTTCAGACAGACACACATTATTAGTTTATTATATTTCGTAGAGCTAAAGTTCACTCGTCACTACGTCATACCTTATGGTGCGTTCAAAAACAAATATAATTCAGTTACATAAAATCTTTTTTTGTGTTCCGTGCTTTATTGTTTATTATAAATAAATGGCTTATTCTAATCTGAGTTATATTTTTCTTATTCGTTGGCCAATTCTACCAGGAATATAAAGATAACATTGAAATAAAAAAGAAGTAAATTTTTGTACATTTTAGTTCTCTAGATCTTGTGTTCCGAACGCAACCCTATTCATATAGAATTGAAGGAAGATTTGTATATATTATATTGTATAGTACCTGGATGACCGAGCATTTCTCGGTTTTTTTTTTTTGGAAAATGTGTGTTTTGGAAGTTATATTTAGATTAAAAATACATACTGATAAAATATGAAGAATATTTTTTGATCTTACCGACATAATAGAAAAAAAACTGAACTGGTTATTAAAATGAAAAATCATGAGTGCAATTTCACCGTAAAGTAAAATTATATTGTTTGGTGTTTACAAACTGCGACGCTAGATGTCACTATTAGAAAATTAAAACACGCGCACGCAAGGGAAAAAATGTTTTTTTTTTTGCAATGAAGGCTTAATAAATCTTCCGTACACAAGATGTCGCTAGTTGACACAGAGGTGAAGTTTTTTTATTACATAAGTCAGTTTTAAATAGAAGTTTGTCAGTTCCTAGAGTACTACGATAATACACAAAACAATGCCTCAGTGATTTATTCTACTGTCGCTTTTAATTAAAACATTACAACTATGGCAAATATCCCTCTATGAGGTTATCAATGGGGGTGGCTTATGTTCAGCAATAAACTTTTGGTAGACAGACTGTAATGGATGGATGTATAGAAGATAATCTACTAGGAACACATGACCCGTTAAGAGATGAAATTATCAAATCAACAGTAACATTACAACTGTGTCCAATATCCCCCCCTATGGGGTTATCAATCGGGGAGGCTTATGTTCAGCAGTGGACTTCAATAGGCTGGTCATGGATGGATGTATAGAAGATAATCTACTAGGAGCACATGAACCACTGAGAGGTGAAATTATTAAACCAACAGTAACATTACAACTATGTAGAAGACAATCTACCAGGAGCACATGACCCACTTAAGAGGTGAAATTATTAAACCAACAGTAACATTGCAACTATGTAGAAGATAATCTACCAGGAGCACATGACCCACTGAGAGGTAAAATTATTATACCAACAGTAACATTACAACTACGTAGAAGATAATCTACCAGGAGAACGTGACCCACCGAGAGGTGAAATTATTAAACCAACAGTAACATTACAACTATGTAGAAGATAATCTACCAGGAGCACATAACCCACTGAGAGGTGAAATTATTAAATCAACAGTAACATTGCAACTATGTAGAAGATAATCTACCAAGAGCACATGGCCCACTGAGAGGTGAAATTATTAAACCAACAGTAACATTACAACTATGTAGAAGATATTCTACCAGGAGCACACGACCCACTGAGAGGTGAAATTATTAAACCAACAGTAACATTATAACTATGGCAAATATCCCCCCTTTGAGACAATCTATGGGGGAGGCCTATGTTCAGCAGTGGACTTTAATAGGCTGTAATGGATGGATGTATAGAAGATAATCTACCAGGAGCATATGACCCGCTGAGAGGTGAAATTATTTAACCAACAGTAGTATTACAACTTTGGCCAAAATGTATATGGAAAAACCACTCACACAGCCTAGCTCTCAAACGGCTAATTCTAGTACATACGAACTGCTCAATCTAACTCCAACTACGAAAAAGGAAGTAGGTAAAATTATATATAAACTTAATCCAAACACTAGCACGGGCTTAGACTGAATTAGTTGCAAAACCATAAAATGCATCAAAAATTTAATATTACACAAATTAACAATGAATATCAACCATTGTTTACAAAACGGATTCTTCCCCGATCCTCTTAAAGTAGCAAAAGTGAGTCCAATTTTTAAATCAGGCAAAAAAACCGACCCAGGCAATTATCGCCCTATCTCAGCTCTCCTAATTATCTCTACGAGAAAATATTATATAAACGCTTAGATAATTATCTTAAAACTATAAACTTATCAAATAATCAATATGGTTTCCGCACAAAATCTAATACACTAACTGCAACAATCGACCTTGTGACAAAATTGAAAAACAATATTGATGAAAAAAGCGCAGCACTCGGTATATTTATCGATCTGAAAAAAGCATTTGATACAATTAGCCATATCCTGCTTCTCCGAAAACTATATGATATCGGCATCCGGGATACTGCCCACGGCATGTTTCGGTCATATCTCTCTAACAGATAGCAAATTGTTAGGATCGGTGATATAGAAAGTAATCACGAATCTTCAGCCTGCGGCGTACCACAAGGCTCTATTCTCGGTCCCTTGCTGTTCATAATATACGTAAGCGATGTGCATAACCTTAACCTGTCAAGTGATATAATACTATATGCTGACGACACATGTTTATTTTTATTTGGCAAGGACATCGAGCAGATCATTAAAAAAGCACAGCAGGATTTGGATACACTCTAGATGGTCCAAGAATTTTTTTTAAACATCTAAAACTAGTTACATTATTTTCAGTGCTAAAAACAAAAAAAAAAACGAAAATTGCTTAACTCTCCGCATAAATAATGAACCCTTAACCAAAGTTAGTACAGAAAAGTATCTTGGACTCCACCTAGATAAACACTTAACGTGGCAGCCGCACCTAGATAAATTAAGATCTAAGCTATCTTCTATCATGGGTGCGCTTCGAGGTAATATTCGCTGTCTGCCATTAGTGAGATATATTATATACAACTCCATGATAAAACCTCATCTAGGCTACATAATAGAGGTGTGGGGTACTGCGGCTAAAACAAATCTAAAGCAAATTGAAACATGTCAAAACAAAATAATTAAACTACTATTCCATTATCACTATCTAACTCCCACCGAAAACATTTACAAAGAAACTCAATTAATGACACTATTACAGATTTATAAATATAATACATGCATATCTTAATATATATAAATTACGTGTCACGTTGTTTGTCCGCGATGGACTCCTAAACTGCTTAACCGATTTTAATCAAATTTGCACACCGTGTACACTTTGGTCCAACTTGAGAGATAGGATATATTTTTTGCCCATGAGTAAGCCACAATTTTTCTTGCGAATTTAAGGATTTTTAATAGGACATGACAAAGGGTCTTCGAAAAGGGCAGGACAACGTCTGCCTGGTAAGCTAGTTAGTACATAAATTATTAAATAAAGACATACACTCTAAAATAACGTTTACAAAGAAAAGACTAATACAAAAACGTATTACTAGACGACAAAATAACATTTGCCTAAGACAACCTCGAACTAACTACGGAAGAAAAAAATATATTATACGAAGGAACAGTTATATAATAAATTGCCTAATAACATAAAAGAGATCCAGTCCTTTATTTTATACAAAAAAAACATTAAAGCGATTTTAAATGCCAATAACTTATTCAAAAAGCTAATGTTATTTCTTTAATTAATTTGATTTTACCAATTATTTAAAATATAACCATTAACATAAAAATACCATCTAAATTGCTTGCAAATATAATAATATAACAATATAACAATGTGTAATTGCTATAGAATTTCTTTCAATAACGATTTGTAATTGTACACGTACTTTTCTTATTACCCACAACAAGTAACAAGATTGTGCGTATCCACTACTTAACAGATCATTCACAAGTACCTGCCGTTCTTCATAAGTGTATGTATTTAGTATCTAATTATTAACTTGTTATTTCTCATGATAAGTGAATGGTATTCTTTTTGAGAAATAAATGTCTTAAACCGTAATATTTCCCCTATGAGGCTATCAATAGGGGAGGCCTATGTTCAGCAGTGGACTTTAATAGTCTGTAATGAATGGATGTATAGAAGATAATCTACCAGGAGCACATGACCCACTGAAAGGTGAAATTATTAAATCAACAGTAACATTACAACTATGTAGAAGATAATCTACCAGAAGCACATGACCCACTGAAAGGTGAAATTATTAAATCAACAGTAACATTACAACTATGTAGAAGATAAATCTACCAGGAGCACATGACCCACTGGAAGGTGAAATAATAAATCAACAGTAACATTACAACTATGTAGAAGATAAATCTACCAGGAGCACATGACCCACTGAAAGGTGAAATTATTAAATCAACAGTAACATTACAACTATGTAGAAGATAATCTACCAGGAGCATATGACCCACTGAAAGGTGAAATTATAAATCAACAGTAACATTACAACTATGTAGAAGATAAATCTACCAGGAGCACATGACCCACTGAAAGGTGAAATTATTAAATCAACAGTAACATTACAACTATGTAGAAGATAAATCTACCAGGAGCACATGACCCACTGAAAGGTGAAATTATTAAATCAACAGTAACATTACAACTATGTAGAAGATAATCTACCAGGAGCACATGACCCACTGTAAGGTGAAATTATAAATCAACAGTAACATTACAACTATGTAGAAGATAAATCTACCAGGAGCACATGACCCACTGAAAGGTGAAATTATTAAATCAACAGTAACATTACAACTATGTAGAAGATAAATCTACCAGGAGCACATGACCCACTGAAAGGTGAAATTATTAAATCAACAGTAACATTACAACTATGTAGAAGATAATCTACCAGGAGCACATGACCCACTGTAAGGTGAAATTATAAATCAACAGTAACATTACAACTATGTAGAAGATAAATCTACCAGGAGCACATGACCCACTGAAAGGTGAAATTATTAAATCAACAGTAACATTACAACTATGTAGAAGATAAATCTACCAGGAGCACATGACCCACTGAAAGGTGAAATTATTAAATCAACAGTAACATTACAACTATGTAGAAGATAATCTACCAGGAGCACATGACCCACTGTAAGGTGAAATTATAAATCAACAGTAACATTACAACTATGTAGAAGATAAATCTACCAGGAGCACATGACCCACTGAAAGGTGAAATTATTAAATCAACAGTAACATTACAACTATGTAGAAGATAAATCTACCAGGAGCACATGACCCACTGAAAGGTGAAATTATAAATCAACAGTAACATTACAACTATGTAGAAGATAAATCTACCAGGAGCACATGACCCACTGAAAGGTGAAATTATTAAATCAACAGTAACATTACAACTATGTAGAAGATAATCTACCAGGAGCACATGACCCACTGTAAGGTGAAATTATAAATCAACAGTAACATTACAACTATGTAGAAGATAAATCTACCAGGAGCACATGACCCACTGAAAGGTGAAATTATTAAATCAACAGTAGCATTACAACTATGTAGAAGATAATCTACCAGGAGCACTGACCCACTGAAAGGTGAAATTATAAATCAACAGTAACATTACAACTATGTAGAAGATAAATCTACCAGGAGCACATGACCCACTGAAAAGTGAAATTATAAATCAACAGTAACATTACAACTATGTAGAAGATAATCAACCGGGGAACATACCTTCAGAACTCCGGACCGATAGTACCTCGTCGTCGTCCTTGTGGTTGGCGAGTCGGCTCTGGTCCATCGGCGGCTTCTTGAAGTTTGCTGCCAGGAGGTGCGCCTCGTACATGTCATCCTGGATATTCATCACCGTATTATTATTATATATTGTGTACTCACATAATTACATTATAGTATAAGTAAAATACTAAATTACTTAATGATTTCTTATATTTACGCGAACACTACACATTGATTAAAACTACTTTTACGGATTTTATCGCGTTTTATTTATATTAATTTTAATACCCGACGTTTCGGGTGCTTTCCAGCACCCATGGTCACGGGGGACTGAGGTGACTGACGTCCCGATGTCAAAGTTAACCTGGAGTACCTTCAGCTTTTTAATTATTGTCTTTGGTCCGATCTACGCAGAATGAACTAACTGTATTTTGAATTCTTGCAGTGGTATGCTTGGGTTTAGTTTTAATTTTATTAATTATAGGATCCCAAGCAGGTGGTAGTACCCAGCCTCCTTCTCTATTGAAATTAGGATACTTTTTAATTTCAATAGCCACACGTATCATCCTTGGTAGGAATCGATGTTCTTTCGCGAGGATTTGTGGTCTATCAAATCTGATGTAATGGTTGGGGCCATCTAGAATATGATTGCAAACTGCAGACTTCCCGGAACGTTGATGCTTCACGTCAGCTATGTGTTCTTTTACGCGGGTTCTAATTGATCTCTTTGTTTGCCCTATATATGAGACCACAATTACAATCAAGCTTGTACAGTCCTGCATCTTGTAGAGGAATATGAGACTTGACGGATGGTAAGAACTGACTAATCTTCTTCGGCGGCTTGTAGAATGTTCTAATAGAAGCTCGCTTCAAGTTGTAGCCAATCTTGTCTGTGACACCTCTGACATATGGTAGTATAGCAGGCACACGCTCGACTGTGGCCGGCTTCACTCGGTCACTGTGTGTGTGTGTGTGTGTGTGTGTGTGTGTGTGTGTTTACTGTCACAGATCCCTCGTGCTCTCTGAAACAAAGATTTGTCCACGGTAGCTAACTATGAAGGATGATGGTGAGATTCACCATTTAGGTATCGGTTTGTATGGGTCTTTTTTCTATACACAGTATGACCTATGTTGTTGTTAGGATTTCGGATGACTAACACATCTAGGAAAGCTAAGGAATTATTTGCCTCTAACTCCATAGTAACCGTGCCTGCGTGTGCCTGCTATACTACCATATGTCAGAGGTGTCACAGACAAGATTGGCTACATCTTGAAGCGAGCTTCTATTAGAACATTCTACAAGCCGCCGAAGAAGATTAGTCAGTTCTTACCATGCGTCAAGTGTCATATTCCTCTACAAGATGCAGGAGTGTACAAGCTTGATTGTGATTGTGGTCTCTCATATATAGGGCAAACAAAGAGATCAATTAGAACCCGCGTAAAAGAACACATAGCTGACGTGAAGCATCAACGTTCCGGGAAGTCTGCAGTTTGCGATCATATTCTAGATGGCCCCAACCATTACGTCAGATTTGATAGACCACAAATCCTCGCGAAAGAACATCGATTCCTACCAAAGATGATACGTGTGGCTATTGAAATTAAAAAGCATCCTAATTTCAATAGAGAAGGAGGCTGGGATGGACCACCTGCTTGGGATCCTATAATTAATAAAATTAAAACTAAACCCAAGCATACCACTGCAAGACTTCAAAATACAGTTAGTTCATTCTGCGTAGATCGGACCAAAGACAATAATTAAAAAGCTGAAGGTATTCCGGGTTAACTTTGACATCGGGACGTCAGTCACCTCAGTCCCCCGTGACCATGGGTGCTGGAAAGCACCCGAAAAGTCGGGTATTAAAATTAATATAAATAAAACGCGATAAAATCCGTAAAAGTAGTTTTAATCAATACTAAATTACTTTCAATAATATTATATTATATTTTATACTAGCTTAATGATGCAACGGAAGTTTTTTTATAGTATAGGGTGACAAACGAGCACACAGTCCACCTGATGGTAAGTGGATGCTGTGGCCCATAGACATGTACATCTATCCTCGATTACGAATCAAAATGCAGAGGCGTTGTCACCCGTGAAGACTAAGATGGAATGCCCCGTTTCCATTAAAAAGGGTCTCCGGTTCTCTACACTCACCATACGAAATACAGCAGCATTAAGTTGCTATTTGACGCTGGTATTCTGTGAGAGCGTGATCGTTCCCCGGTCAAGCCGACCCATTCGTGCTACAACTATATTACTAATATAACTATATTACTAATATAACTATATTACTAATATTACTATATTACTAAATTAACCGCAGTATGGCTCTACCACGTATAAAGTGTCATAACTGAAGAACAGAAACAGAAGTCAAAAGTAAATTTTAGCAGAAACTGATATGGAAACTGATGAAAAAGCGGAAGTATAAATATTATGTAAAAAGTACAATTTATGACAAATATATTTTTTTATTAAATTAGCATTTAAAATTAAGTAGCGGTGTGTTAGTTATATTTTATGGAAAGAATTTTGGCATCTTTTACATCTAATCACAAATCTGTTTCAGTATTCTTCATATAGAGAATAGCCTCGCTAAATAATTGCTCACTGGTGTCGCTGCTTGGAGGACCTGATAAATCTTGGCGAACTAATGGCAAAAGATTACGATATTTATGTGCATTTCTTTTCCACCGCATACTCCTGAAGGTGGATTACGTCTCCAAAAGAGATTGCCACTCTTATTACTGGTGCAACATGGATTGTAATATTTGTAATGATGAATTCATCATTGATGATTATGTAGATTGGACTTCATTCTCAATTTGAGGTCGGCACCTTTGGGGATAGCCGTGGTAGCTCAGATGGTTAACGCTCGCTGTAAATATAACAGAACGCGAGTAACCCAGGTTCAATCCCCGCCGGCACCAATGAAATTGTTAATTGCAATTTTTAGTGCTGATTTACCACGTGCTCGGCGGTGAAGGAAAACATCGTGAGGAAACCTGCATGTCTGAGAGTAAGAAAAAAATTTATTTCGAAGACATGTGAAGTTCGCCAACACGCATTGTGGCAGCGCGGCGGATGCTTCCTTGCCCTAAAACCCTCTCAGAAATGAGAGGAGGCCTGTGCCCAGCACTGAGACGCATATAGACTGTAACTTTACTTTACTTTTACCTTTGGGGATAGGTATGCCATCATCAAAGTTCCGATCGATTTTCCGTTATAAACGTTGCGGAAACAGAAGCAGAAACGGATGTCAAAAAGATGCAGAGGCAGAGGTCTATTGCATCATTAATATTTACACTGGCTCCCTATACCCTTCAGACCGGAACACTGCAGTACAAACACTAATATTTACCGGCATAATAGACATCGTGTCAATCATGAATGATTCGTTCGTTTGAGCTGGTACACTAAAGTATTGATGGTTCATTCATCTGTTTTTGAATGTTCCGGTACAACCAATCACAAACAATTGACAGAACCTTTTTAACTCGTGATTGGTGTGAATTGTGAATGAGTCGAAAACTGACCGAATCCCGAATGAATTGTTTTTAGTGTAGGGTACTTGAGCCTGAAATGATCCAATTGAATGATCAATCCGAATGTATCGGTACACGTAACGATATGTACTAGAATGATTCGGTCTCGAGAAATGTATGATTGACACATGTCTACATAAGTAGGTATCAAGATGGAACCTACCCAGAATATTTTAATAAATATTTTACATATTCACTTTAACTACTTGCCGTGGTGTGAGAAAGAAAGCGCTAGATTTCGGATGAGGATAAAACGTAGCTCTATAAAACTCCCACCTATTAAAAACCACGTCTTTCTCAAATAGTGGACTGGTGTGTATGTATTTTCACCATTGATGTTGATACGGTATCCTTTCAAGTACAGTAACTAAAAAACGTCTTCCATTGAGAAGCGTTTCAGGGATAAAACATCGCTCTGTCTTACACCTCTCTGCAGTTGGATAGGCTTCGTACTCTGGTTCTGTACTCGGATAGCCATCGTAGCTCCACTGTGCAAACACTTCAGCACTTCGATATACTAATAATCGACTTGGCACTGCTCAAGACTTTTAATTTTAAAAACCTACAAAGTCATAGCAAAATCATTGGAATGCTGAGTCCGTAGTATTTAGTGCAAAACCAAGTGCATTTGATAGTTTTTTCATTTTACGTTCCTGCATTATTGAAATTTTAAAATTTCTTTTCTTTTAAAGTCTTATTTCACTGACCTTATCAATATTGGCATATTTCTCGTGAATATGCCGCAAGGCACGTAAGTTCTCGTCTAGGCTCAGCGAGTCGGACGCTTGACTTGGTGATCCTGGAAATAAAAAAAAAACAATTTCTTTTTATTTCTATTTTCCCATAAGACCATTACAGTCTACTGCCGGACATAAACCTTTCTCCCTGAAGTAAGACTGACAATCGAGCACACTTCACCTAAGGCTCCGTTTCCATGTGGGAAGTGACAAGTGCGAGTGACAAGTGCAAATGACAAGTGCTTAGTGCGTGTGAACGGACAGTTACAAGTGATTAGTCAATAAAATACGCACTAAGCGCTTGTCATTTGTCAGTTACACTTGTCGCTTCTCAAAATGTAAACCGGGCCTTATGGTAAATGCATACTGTGGCCATAGACAGCTTCAGCTTGTCTTCCAAATTGTTGTTATGCCTGAGGACTAGGATGAACGCCCCAGTAAAAAGGGATCTCTACACTCACCATACGAAACACAACAGCATCAAGCTGCTATTTTACGCTGGTATTCTGTAAGGGCATGTCCCTTCCTCAGACGAGCCGACATTAGTGTTGCAATAATGCAGCTTGGCTCTGCCAACAATAATAATTTAAATTTCATCAATCAATCTATCATCAATAATAATTTAAATTTATTTTAAAATAAGTAAACAATATAAAATTGAAATATGTTAAATAATGTAATAAATGACTAGAAACCCCAAAAAAAAAAAAAAAAAAAGCCAAGCCGCCAAAAAAAGGGGAAGCCCGCCGAGGGGCTTTTTTTATATGTTATGTTAATGAGTTCGCGACCGTCATATTGAGGGCGTCACTTTGAGGTGTAATATTTGACAGATTTCATATGGCGGGAGTTTTACAGGTTAATGTTTCTTTCTGTTCTATTAGCTATGTTTTATATTAATTAGATTAAAAGTAAATAAACCAAACCACACGTTTTTATAAAATGTGAAAAATTAAAAAAAAGAGAAGAGAGAAAGAGCGAACCACTGAGGTGTTGCTTTGTGTATTAATACATTACTCTAGAAACTGTGTAACAAAAAAAACAAAGCCCAAAAGGGAAATAAAATGCCCAAAAACATAAACCATGACATAAAAAAAAAAAAAAAAAAAACCAATATTTAAAAAAAAAAAAAATAAAAATAAAAAAACCAAAAAAAAAAAAAAAAAAATTTTAGAAAAATAAAAATTTTATTATAAAATATATAAAAAAAAAAAAAAACAACTAAAAAATAAATATAATAAAATAAAAACAAAAAAATAATATTGTAAAGTTACACAACAGTACACGCATTGGGGCAGCGCAGCGGACATTTCTTTGCCCTAAAACCCTCTCAAAAGTGAAAAAGAAAAGGGAGAACTATGCCCAGCAGTGGGACTTATATACTGTAACTTGTAACTTTTTAACTTTATGCAATATTTTAAATATAAAATAAATAAATAAACAACTATATTACAATAGCATGTCTATAGACCACAGCATCCACTTACCATCAGATGGACTGTGTGCTCGTTGGTCACCCTTATTCTATTAAAAAAAAATCATATCAACTCACCCAGATCCGGCTCATCATCGCTGTCCAGTGTAATAGGTTCCGTACTGGGCGGCATCAGGTTGCTACGTACTCTGATCTCTGGAATTGACAAAATTAAACTGTTGAAGTTCAAAAAAATTAAAAAAAAACTTCAGTGAATATAGTAACAGAAGTAAGGAAAACTGTTTCTGCATTAAAAACTGTCCGTAGCAAAGCGCTGAATAAGGGCGCCACTGTAGCTAGAGGGTAAATTTTAAAGAACTTTTTATAACTGTCTAATGCACACACTTTTACTATAATTTTTTTATAATAATAATTTTATTGTTTTCAAAATTTTTACTTTCAAAATCACTCTCAACGTGTTTCACGGCGACTTTTTCTAGGTCATATTTACTAAACTAATTAACCTTCAACTGGTGACGTACCGTCAATTTGACGTCGCAACGCAAAAATCATTGTATTTCTTAGAAATGGCGTACCCCCCGCGACCGCGCCTCCTAATAGCTGCCTTGTATGCAGTTTGGTGTCTGCCGATACACAGAACGGACGTCGCACGTGCACAGTTTAGGCTGTAGAGGCTACCCGACGTCATATTGACGTTACGTCACCTTTAGTGTTATGTTTTAGTTGTGAGCCTCGGACGTACAATTTCATTCAAAATGAATCCAAATGATCACGATTACGAGCGGCGAGTTACTGAAGTTTTGGATCAAACTGACAGTGATATCAGTGACCAAGAGGATCGCGAGTTGGATCAAAATCATGCCTTAGAATCCGACCATGACACTTCAAGTGAAATTGCTGAGTCTGAGGATGAAGAACGAGTTCCAGAGAATGATAGCGACAACGACGATGAGCCTTTGATCAACTCAGCAAGTACCAGACCATTCTATTGAGGAAAAACAGTAAGAAATAGCCAACCATTTAAGTGGTATAAAGATCCTCACAGAAGCAGTGTTAGAACTCCAAGCCATAATATTGTTACAGTTCAAGGCTCAAATATGACGCGTGATTGTACTGAAGAAGAAGACTTCTGGAATATTTTGTTCTCTGAAGATATTTTACAGATAGTTGTTCAACATACTAACAGAAAATAACAAGATATGAGGCATAAATACAAGAAGGAAGATCGAGCACACATAGGATGCCTGCTTTTGACTGCTATTTTTAAAAGCAATAAAGAAGATACTGCGTCTTTGTTTGCCACAGGTGGAAAAGGCAGAGAAATATTTCGATGCATTTTTTCGCAAAAACGTTTTCTTCTGTTACTAGCAGCATTACGTTTCGATGATCACAATACCAGAGAAGAAAAAAAGAAAAATGATCCGGCTACACATATATCCGAGTTGTATGGTATTTTCATCTCGAATTGCCAAAAATACTATACTCCTGGTTCTTATATGTGTATTGCATTTTGATTTTTAATGGAGGATAGATGTAGATGTCTATGGGCCGCAGCAACCACTTACCATCAGGTGGACTGTGTGCTCGTTTGTCACCCTATCCTATAAAAAAAAAAAAAATTGACAAAATGCTTGTCAGATGCCGTTGTCGTTGCAAGTTCCTCATGTATATGCCGAAGAAACCGGGCAAATATGGTGTGAAGCTCATGTGCATGACTGACGCTTTGACAAATTACCTCTACAGTGCTTATATATACTGTGGAAAAGATACGGATGGACAGGGATTAACGCATGAAGAAAAGGAGTACTCGAAACCTACACAGAGCATTTTACGGCTGACGAAACCTATACAAAAATCCAACCGAAATGTAACCGGAGACAATTGGTTTACATCAATCGAAGCCATGAAGCTTTTGAAGGAAAAGGGTCTTACTTATGTGGGTACTATGAACAAGAATAAAAGGGAAATCCCCCCCGAATTCAACCCTAAACGAACGAGACCAGTCGGACAAACTCTTTATGGTTTTTTGAAGGAAATGACTATGGTTTCTTATGTACCCAAATGTAACATTGTATCGTCCATGCACCATGATAAGTGTAACTATCGAGAAGGTGAAAAACCAGAAATAATATTGTTATATAATCACACGAACAATGGTGTTCATGGTCTGCACAGAATGTGCAATAACTATTCCTGTATTCGAAGAACGAAGCGATGGCCACTGGTTCTTTTTTACCGATTGATCGATATTTGTGCAGTAAATTCATACGTACTGTACAAGTGCCAATACCCTCAAAAAGCTAAAAATGTTGACAGATATACATTTTTGAGTACAGTAGCCGACCAAATTTGCAAGCCCCACATGTTGCGCCGGTGTAATAATCAAAAAATTTCTCGAGACATACGCACTTCTATCAAGCGAATTTTGAAGATAGAAGATGCAGAACCTGAACCTTCTACATCTGTAAAGCTGGAGAAACGTGGCACATGTACAATATGTCCAGCAAAGGAAAAAAAGAACGTCATACTTATGCAAGAAGTGCAGAAAACCAGCATGCCTAGATTGTCTTGAGAAAATTTGTGTGAATTGTTACCAGGCATAATTTCTTTTTTTGTATGGAACCAATACACTAAAATATTTTTTTTAATAATTACCTAACCCTTGGTTAGAGAATAATGTTGATTTTTGTTTTTCTTTTTAGTTTTTTTGAATTTTATGATGATTGATCTCATGCCTACCAAAACAAACAAATTCATTATAAGTTCATGTGTATGTATTAAAGTGATTTTTTCATTTAATTTGTCAAAAAGGTGTTTTATTTTAAAATCAAACAAACCTAATTTAAAAAAACATGACCTATTTTATTACCACTATCCATAATATACATTATTTATGGCTTTTAATTGAAACGTCATATTGACGTCGTCACCTCTCCAATACTGTGACTCATATGCACGTCACCAGTTGAAGGTTAAGATAACGTGAGTAGTTAAGGTTTTAAATACTGCAGTTTCATCAACTACTCTAGTCACCACAAATATCAAATTCCTCAACTCAGCACACTTCACTCCGTTGACAACTGCTAAGTTCATTTCATACCCTCTAGCTACTCCAGTGCTATTATGGAGAGTTTTTGAACTGTTATTTACTGCTTACAAATGGACAATTTTTCAACTATTCTCCTATGTGTGATGGTTCTCTTTACCTTTACACTCCATGCTTCCGTGGTTGGGACACGTAGAAAGAATGAAAGAGGAAAGAATGACAGAGAAAAATGTATTATGTAGAAGTGAGCGGTAGAAATGACAAGAAAAGCAAGAGGTCAGTGGTTGACCTTTGACCTTAGAGAAGTGGCTCGAACTTTGGTCAGTATTTTTAGTACATGTATGTAGGATAATACTAAGGTTATCTGTATATTTTAAAATCATCTAAAAATGTTTGTTTCCTTTTTGTTTTACAATTTTTACTTTTATAAGTGAAGAGATCGTTAGGACTTTTGCCACAGTTGCCACGTTTGGCAACCGCGTTGGCAATCGCAATTTTTTATTATTTTTGAGTAGTTATCGGGAAGATGCTGCTGCCCAACTCCTGTTTCAGATTCCCTCTGTCGCCTCTTACGACTCCCCTGGGACCATGTGGGGCAGTGAATATTCTTACCCCGCCACTACACGGTTGAACAAAAGCATTTATCGACAAAAGTGGCTTACATGTCCTTCTCCACATTTCAGGCTTTTTTATAGAATAAATGTGACAAACGAGCACACAGTCCACCTGATGGTAAGTGGATGCTGTGATCCATAGACATCTACATTTATCCTCGACTAAGAATCATAACGCAGATGCGTTGACACCCCTGTGGACTAAGATGGAATGCTTTGTTTCCAGTAAAAAAGGGCCATTGGATCTCTACACGCACCATACGAAGCACAGCAGTATTAAGCTGCTATTTTACGCTGGTATTCAAGGCTACTACTTTGTCAAATTTCTTTAAGATCGGTTTAGTGATATAGCCATTATGAGGATACAAACAGACATGTTCAGTCAGACGAAATTCATAATTGCAGCATACGAATGCGTTGAAAATTGTAATTTTTTTTTAAAATTATGTAGTACTTTATTTTATGTTCATTTTGATAGTTATTATTATTTTTCAATTTCAGTACTTTTATTTAATATAATTGTATAGCATCGCACTGGTTATAACTATATATATATATATATATATATATATATATATATATATATATATATATATATATACATATAAATCAATTGCCATCCGTCAGTCTAGTAAAACTCGAAACTGGCTCGACCTATACTTATTTTTTAATGTGTTTGAGCGGATGTCTCTGGATGTTTTAGATTCACAATTGTACCCGCCGGCTACCGGTGGAAGGAGCTGTTAGATAAGATAAGATAATCATTTATTGTCATAACTGTGTACATGAGGTCTTACAAATACAGAGTATAGTTACAACAGTTTGTCCATTTCAGACGTACAATATAATAAAAAATAAAATAAAGCACTACAATAAATCAATAATTACTTCCAAAAAATTCATCTAAATTATAAAAACATTATGATAATAACCATTCTTTCAACTTTTTTTTAAATCTTGGGTTCTCTAACGATTTAATGTATATAGGTAAATGGTTGAAGATTCTGATTCCGCTTAAAGTACTTTTACAATAAATGTAACTAGATGATTTAACAATGCACACATCAAAAGCGTATTGAGTTCGTAAGTTCTTGTTGTCGAGATACAGAAAATTATACGTGGTAGAGTTTGTCCCCCTTATTCTATTAAAAACAATCTCCTTTCCTATCTCCTTCTTTTAAGTGCAACAATATTCATCATACCTTAATCTAAAGTACTCGATAAGACCTATTGTTAGAGATTTTTACAGTTATTTTTTTTTATATGTTATTTTTGCCGTGAAGTTTGAGTTTTGAGACTTTGACCGTGTCGTTTGTAAGAATACATATCATTCCGTGGGTGTAAGAATATCGAATAACAACACCATATCACTCATTCGGTATAGTTAGAGGCGACAGAGAGAAACTAACGTGGAGATCTCATCTCCCAATGACAACTCAACATAAAAAAAAACTTCTGTAGCCAACCTGACCGCCAAACGTGGCAACTATGGTAAATATACTACCTTTATGAGACGAACTATGGGGTGTTCCACGCTTAACAGTGGACTTACACAGTGGAATTGATACAGGCAGCGGTAAGTTGCTCACGTAATGTGAAATATATTTTTTTCTCATAAAACTGTCGTGATAATCGAGCATACATCCCACCTGATGGTAAGTGGTTACTACAGTTCTACACTCCTTTTAATAGACTGTAACGAGAACGGTTTGAGTTTTACTAACATCATTTAAAAAGTTAAAATGAGAAATTCTTTCTTAAAAAGGCCACTCTCCAAAATTTACCGCCCGGGCTCACAAGGCTCCAGCACGCCCCCCGACCAGCGCCCGCTACGCACTTGTGTGAACCTTCATCAAATTGAAATCATCCGAGAAGACGATTAGTTCAAAGAAGCGATGATACTCACTGGCCTGCTGTGGCTGCTTACTCGCCAACTGCTCAGTCTTCCTCGGCCTACCTCTCTTGCCTTTCACTCTCTCTGACGTTGGAGTTTGCTGAAAAAATAATTTTACTTTGAAAAAAAATACACAAAAAAAAAACAAAAAACAACTTATATTGTTAACAAGCCGTTAGCAGGGATGGAAAAGGTTCTAAAATATACCGGTATTCAGCACTTCTGATACTAGACTAAGAACTTAATAATACATAATCGTACTTTTCTTATGAAACTAATGATGTGTCTTACCTAGTTTGAAGAGCACCTCCCGCCCTCCCTCAATTGCGTGCACTAATCCCGTCACCACTAACCCCAGCACCACTACTACCACAACCACTATTCTAAGAATCTCATTTAATAATTATATCTCATTTAAATTATATATTTTAACTAGCTTCTCAGACAGACGTTGTTCTGCCCTTTTCATCGACCCTTTGTCACGTCCTATTAAAAATCCTTAAATTATCAAAAAAAATATGGGTCACTCATGGGCAAAAACTAACTATCTCTCAAGTTGAGCTAAACTATACACGATGTGCAAATTTGTTTAAAATCGGTTAAGTAGTTTAGGAGTCCATCGCGGACAAACAACGTGACACGTAATTTATATATATTAAGATTATATTTTATCAAAAAATCATTTTATTTAATTGAGCGGATGGTTGCAAAATAACTATTAATATCTTTATTATAATGGATTTCCGCAAAGTAACGCCTGATTTTATCAATTATCTGAAAATAAAGAGACGAGCGAATTGACTTTTTTATAGAATAAAGGTGACAAACGAGCACACAGTCCACCTGATGGTAAGTGGATGCTGTGGCCCATAGACATCTCTACACCTTATTATCTTTATTGAGATGGGGAGTCCTACCAATCAGTATAACAAGTAAACAATATTCCGTATTCACCGAGTCATTCTTCTTCGTACTCTGCGTCCGCTTCGTGTATTTACGTTTGACTCGCGGCGTCGTGTCGCCGGTCGACGAGGATGCGGCCGAGTCTGTAATGAACCGAACAAAACATTAAGAAAATTATCATGATGATAATATCATCCAGACAGGATATTTAATAATGAAACAAAAGTTTTTAATTGATGTTTAACAGTAAAAAAAATGTAAAATATATTTGCATGCTGTTGAAAATAAATATGTTTTAGACAAATAATGTCTTCTAGACCGAATTTTGGTAACCAGCCAGTCTCAACGGACACTAGCCATCTGCGTAGAACACGATTATTGAGGATAAATGTATGCGCAAGCACAAGTGCACTTTCTATTCCCTTGTTCTCATAGTCCGATGGTACGGCAATCTGACACGACAAGAGAGAGATCAGGCGCAGGACCAACGGCTTTACGTGCTTTCCGAGGCACGGGGGTGAGACACCGCCAACTTCATAACTGCTACTGAAAATTTACCCATAAAAAAACCCAATAACTGATTTTGGCCCGACCCTTAGACCTCATGACAAGCAACCGCGTTTACGATTAGGCTAACAGGGCAAATCATAAGAATTCTCATGACGATATGGAAGTTTATTATCGACTTGCATTGAAATATATCTAATATATGAAAAATTTATGTTTGTTTGTTTATTAATATTGTATGTGTTGCCGTAACGTTCGTCAGATTGCGGTAAAACTTTGTCAACTTAAGGCTTCCACTTCCGCTTAGGTTATATCTATAGTACAATTAACTTACAGTACGTAGCGTGCGTATCGTATCGACAATTTATTTGAAAATTATAAACCATTCCATTTTAACACGTTCTCTGCCAATAACAAAATATGTCTTTATCATTCAGGCCGTGGCGGTCACTGTTGGGCAACAACAAACATTTCTGTTCGGGCCGCGTCACCAAATGGTGACCGCGCGTCAGACGTGTTTTTAAACTGTGACTGTAGACCAACGGACAGAAAAGTCTTTCAATTTTGTATGACAGTGGACCCGCGTGGCTCTGCATGTTATCATGTTTAGCTTGGTTTTTGCTTTTTGCAAACAAGACAAGTTTAAAATATATCTCGTGTTTTTACTTGTGAGCTCTAATTTTCACTATAATGAACTATTTGTATCGAGTGTACCTGTACCTGTGTATTATAATTGTATACAAAAATAGCGTTTAAGGTTAGAACAATTTTGACTAAAATATGGACTAGAATTCGCAATGTTAGATCGAATAAAAAATACTAGATTTCCGCTCGCGGCTTCGCTCGCGCGTAATATATTTTCCCGTAGGAATGAAACAATTTTCTGCAGTAAAAGGTATACTCTGCTACTTCTGCATAATGTAGTTTTCTATCGGTGAAATAATTATTAAAATCGGTTCAGTAGATTCAAACAAACAAACAACTCTATCCTCTTCACAATATTGGTATATGTATATAGATTACAAATAAAACAATTTTGACGCGCATATGAAAATTTATTGTAAAAATGAGGTACAGAAAAAGATAAATTGATAAAGTTTAATGTATTTTAATAAAACATTCGGGACATAAAAAAAGGTTCATTAGGACATGTTTTGCAAAAAGTAGTGACTTTCTTTGTCTTATTCCTAGCTACTAAGCGTCCTAGGGTGGCTACGTTCTGTTTATAACATTGTTGGCATTGACGTCGAACGACTTTAGATGATCCTTCTTTTTTCATCAGTTCATGTTTAGCTCTCTTCAGTCTCAATGAAGGAAGTTAGGACGTTATGCCTTTTGTTAGGAAATCTATCATAATTTCTTTTCTAAAATCTACAATAGGAATGTTCTTCTTTGTTACACTTTTGTAAAAAGTGAGTGCGTTTACAACAGCTACGTTCAAGATTAAGTCCATGGCCACTTTTTTATACCACTTGACAGTTTTCCTAAATGGTGTTTGGTACGCTGACATTTGATCAGACAAATCAACGGCACCCTTAGCTTTATTATAGTCGACAATAATTGCAGGTTTTAAGATAACTTAGTTACGTTTTACCACTCTCACAAAACGCGTCGAGTGTTTTGTGGACAAAATTAACACATCTCCACTTGACTGCGCATACAGTGCCCCGACGCTCGAAAACTATTAGTATTTTGTCGCCTATGCATCGGTTATGGTACTATTAACCATTTTAGTATTGTCCAAGTGTTAGACCTGTGTGCACGCTAAATTAATGCAAATTTTTATGCAATTATAATACATGAAATGCCTTCATGCGCGGTGAAGTGGTGTGGGAAACATTCCAGGACAGATTTCCAAAAAGAATGGAGTAACTTTTCATTGCTAAGTTTACTTATATATTTTTTAAAATATGAAAATTATTGTTGATTAATACAGATTATGAGCCACCGCAGGGGTCTATCTAAAACGGTGGCCGGGTAAATAACGACATGGTTGAGTCGCGCGTTGATGTCTTTTGGAAAAGTCTCGTTCTACTATTAGACAATTCTAATGCTTCTATCCCTTTCTTTCCCTTTGTACGTTTATCGTAAACATTAGTACTTACTGTTACCTTTAATAGCTGAAAGTCGATATCGAAAATAATAAAATTAAAATTAATAAAAAGATTATTCAATTCACACACTGTGAAAAAATACTTATCTACTTTTAACCGTCTTCAGAAAAAAGAGGAGGTTTTCAGTTTGTCGGTATTTTTTCCTAGTTAAAGTTTATAGTTACCTAGTTCAATTACTGTTAATATATTACTGTACACTCCTCGACATTTTATGATAAAACTTTTGCTGTTCTTGGAATAAGACTCTGGAACTCCTTAGCCCAGACCATTAAAAGTGCCCAATCTTTAAATGTGTTCAAGAAACAAATTAAGGAACACTATTTGTCTCTTTAACTTCTCTCTCTTCCTCCTCTTAGTTATGGTCACTAATATACCTTAAGTATGTTGTCATTTTATAGTATATAAGTTGTATTTTTTTTGTCTAATTTAGTGCACCCTACCCGTTAATCTTATTTTTATTTTTATTAATTTCCTCTTCTGGGTTGTCTGGAAGAGATTGCTATGTAGCAATAAGACCGCCTTTTGTTTTTCCCTCATTGTTTGTTCATTATTTGTTATATTTATGTTTTGTTGGTGTACAATAAAGAGTATTGTATTGTATTGTATTGTTAAATTAGTTAGATTGGTGTACCAAATCAGAACGACTTACAATTTCAAAAGGACACTAAAGACAAGTTATTGTACGGATCTACTACAATAATAGATATTTGTCGTCGTTGTAAAATTTTTAATAAGAGGGCGATCAATGTGAGTGGTTCAAAAGTGCTGTCTTCAAATTAACCAATTGAGATGAGAACGGTTTTAAAATCTCTGATTAGGTATTATTGATTCCCGGATATTCATTTTCATTAATTTGAAATAGAATCAACAAATCATTTAATTGAATTAGCAAGATGCATAATTTACAAATATGTAGACGCTTGTTTATATTTTTTTACAAAGAACAATCGGGACCCTTAAACTTTATTTCGAAATAAATATAACAAATTATTTGATTTCAAAAATCAATAATAATAAAATAAATACATATTATCGTTGTAACTGATTTATTTTGATTAAATATTATTTCTATGATTTTAGTTGAGTATTTTTCATAATGATAAAATCCATTTTATCGATAACGAATATTTTCCTTTATTAAGAAGAGCAACCCTAAAGATAGCCATAACAAGGCAACTTGACCATTTGCAGCCACGCGTTCTTCCTCGCCCCCCGGCCCGCACTAGTGAGTCGTGTGCTTAGAAGAAATCTGCCTATATGCTCTCTAGTGGTTATATTCTCTATGCTGTTATTCCATCAGCACTTTCTTTAACTATAAATTGCCCCTTTTTCAACTTTGTAGAAACTACTGTTTTAGGAAAATGTTTCCTGTTTTTCCTCAATGTTCCAACAAAATGTGTCTCTCTATTTAATAGCTTTCTTGCCAATTCGATATTTGTGTACCAATTGTCTGTGAACAGTGTGTCCTTTGTCGAGCAAGTCATTACATAGTTCCATAGCTACATTTGTAGGTTTAGTGTTAATTTCGTCATTCTGTTTACCAGTATAAATATTAATTTTATAGGTGTAACCTGGCAATGTACATAATTTAAATAGTTTTACTCCATATTTATGACGCTTTTGTTTGTTATACTGACGAAAGATTATGCGTCCTCGAAAAGGCAAAACACTCTCGTCGATGCATAAATCCTCACCAGGGATATAGTTTTCCTTAAAATTATGATTTATTACACTCAATAAATTTCTTACTCGGTGTAATCGATCAGCTTTGTTCGCCTCATCTTGTTCTGAAAAATGTAGCATTTGAAGCAATATCTCAAACCGATTACGGGACATAACGGTTCTTGGGAAATTTTGTTCCATAATTTGATCTTTGGACCAGTAGTCTGATATTTTAGGTAATTTCACCAAGCCCATAAACAAAACCAAACCAAAGAATTTTTTTATTTCGTCAAGCTTAGTTGGCGCCCAGTTCCGAATGCGTGCACATTTTGTAGCTTCTTGTGAGTTAACTATTTTAGCAATTGCAAAGTTATTAGTGTTTTTCACTATTTCATTAAAAACATCATCCGTTACCAAAAGCGCATAAAATTCTGCTGGGGATTTGTTAATCATAAGCCTGCGCATGTGCAACGGCGCACCAGGAATTTCGGTAAAAGCTATCAATTGGCGTTGATTACCTTTGGGATCGGTCCATGTTGAGGGTGGTGAACTCTCCGCTAAATCTTGAATGGCACGATTAATTTCAGTTTCACTTGACTCACTATCTGATAAGATGATTCGACGCCGTCTTGGTCGCAAAAGTTGAATGTTGTCGTCTTCATCAGAGCTTTTTTGAAAGCTTTGGTTAAGGAGAGTAATTTCTATATTATCTATTCGAGACAGGTCTTCTTGGCTAATCTCAAAGTCATCGAAATCCATCGTTACGACGTAAAATTACAAACACGATCCACATTATAATATAACTGTAAACACGTGACACACACGCACTGGTTGTACACTTTAGTTTTCAGAGATTGAGG